CTTGTGATCACACCCTAAGTGTGTGCAGAATGTGGAGAGTTTTAAAGGTCAGAGATGACTCCTTTCCAAACAACACAAACAGGCTTTTAAGGTGCCTTGGAGCAGAAATGCCCTTTCCTTTTCTGGTCAATATTTGTTTGGAAGGAAACAGCTCTGTGTTAAAGTGACACAGCAGCATCCCCTTCACAGCTGCAAGGCTACCAGCTGAGTTTTGGGCTCAGTTCTGGGGTTCTCGATGTAGAGAGCTGCATGTGGGGCTGGTGATTGCTTATTTACAGTGAGGATTTGTAGTAGGAAGCAGCAGTGATTGAACTCCATTCCCTTTTCTCACAATAGCACTAGGGGTTTGAATTCAGTGCAATGCTGAGCACATCTGAAATATTCCACTCTGAGCATTTTGTAGCACTGATGATTGAATTTGACATCCAGCTTGCCAGAAGCTACATGTTTGGTATGGACATGGTGCACTTGGAAATGTAATTCCTAGTTCTTGCTGGGCTGGCAGTATGGGATGGACCTCTGCCCTCGGTGCCCTGATGTACAGTGGTTAGATGTGTGTGTGTGACTCAGAGGAAAATGTCTTAGCTGTTCACTGGTGTAAGAAAAAGAGGTGGAGCTGCAGGAGCCAAAAGAAACCCAAAGCACTTTTATAACCTACCAAGTTCATGCCCCCAAAAAAACCCATTCAAAACTCAGTTCCCTCAAAAGATAAAAGTCCCCTGTACTGAGAGAATTTCTGGAGCATCTTGTGAACACTAAGTACAGCCTCCCTTAATTAATGGAAGTTAGCTCAGTGTAGTTGTGTGAAAAGCTCCAGTGACACAATGCTCAGAAAGGTTTTAGCAAGGGAGCACAGCACCAGAAGGGTTTAATGGCATTATAATGTCCTTGAGTTACAGTGGCCACAACACAGAGATGGATTCCAGCAGTAGATTAGCAGTAAAAGAAAATCTACACTTTCTCTCTTGAACCCTTGTCCCTTTCCTACAAACTGGAGTTGTCATCCCTGAGATATCAAAACACAAAGGCAGGATGAAAAGGAGAGATGGGTGGAAATGCCTGGATTTTGGAAAGAAAACAATTGGGTTTTCCCCGTGAACTCCAACCCCTTTGTAGCTCCTATTGCATTTTATATGTGTAGAAATAGTTCTCTGGAATTTGGTTTGTGGCCAAGCTTTTGCAACCTGACATTTCCCTCCACAACCTGATCATTCCTTCAATCCCACCCTGCCAGGGAGCTGTGTTGGCTCAGCACAGCCCCTCTCTGGCTCTCTCATACACACCGAGGGGATGTGCAGAGCTCCACTCAAGCGTTTAATGCTCTTGCAGCACAGCCCTGGCTGCTGTGTGAGGCCAGGCGTGCAGAGCTGGGGCTGTGGGGCAGGGAGGAGCTACTTAAACCTTGTTTATCTGAATTAACGCTGCAGAAAAGGAGCTGCTTGACAGACTGAGGGAACTGAAATCTATGAGAAATCCAAAAGGAGACATGCAGGCTTGGGAAAGGCAGTGGCAGCCGAAGCTTCTCGGTGCTGTTCCCATCAACATCAAGAAGGAGAAGTTATGCAAGGAGGAATCTGGTGGCTCTCCTGCCTGGGACAGCTGTGAGGACAGCCCAAAGCCTGTGATGAGGTTTTCTTCCTGTGCATGTTTGTCCTGCTGAGGCTCAGCTGAGTCCCATCAAACTCATTTCACAGCATACTCTTGTCCAAGAAGCAGCTTAGAAAACACAATCCAAAAAGAGGCAGCGAAGCTCAATTTTTTCCTTCTTTCTCTACATCTTTGTAGTCCTTCTCTTGTGCTGCAAGATGAATGGTTCAGATGTGTCTGGGGTAACACGGGCATGGGTAATCTGCCTGTCCATTGATGACCTGTTTCTGAATGTGCTGGCCTGATTTATGAAAATGTACTGTACTTTGCCCCATGTTTTGATGTTGCTCTGTTAGGACTGCATGCAAACTGCAGCAGAACAGTGATGCTTATTCATTCAAGCAGTGAAGGGCTGGCTGGGAACTGAATGAGCTCATAGTTGCTGCCGACTTCACTTACAGCAAGGGAAACAGGCACAAGTGGGTATCCCAAGCCTAGTCTTTTTTTTTTCCTGACCATCAGTTTGGTTTATAAATCATAATCTTGAAAGCACAAGGTCGTGGTATTTATTTAATCATTCATATAGTAGGGTTTTAGGGATGGATTCTTTTTTTTAACTCTCGCTGTTGGAATTGAGGTCTGTTTGCCTGCCAAATTTTCTTTCTCTTGTTATTGCTTGAGCAATAATGAATTTAAAATCTGAAAGTCTGATTCCCATCTTTTACTAGCATCATTCAGCAGATATCTCTGTGGCTTCAGAGAGTCCCAGTCATGTTCCAGCCCCTGTGTGCTCTGAACTACTCTTCACACATTCACAGGCTAATAAAAACAGCAGCAAATTCCCAACTGTACTGTGTGTGCTTCAAAAGCCACTGCTCAGGCAGCAAAGCCTTACCCTGGCAGGAGATTTGGCAGGTCCCCTGCTATCATCAGCCTTGCTGAAGTGCAGAGCAGGGAAGATGCAGGAGAGGAGTGCTGGGGAGCTCCAGTGGCTATGTGCAGTGCTTTGGAATCCCTCTGATTCCTGTGCTGCAAGGCTCAGAAGTTTACCTGTTGCCTTCAATCACTAGGAAATGTTTTCAGTCCTAGATGAATCACCCATGGGGATGTTTAATCCACTAGGAAATGTTTTCAGTCCTAGATGGGGATGTTTAATTACCTAATGTATTAATTAGCAAAGATTCACAGATGTGAGGTGTTGGTAGCTGGAAGCAGAGTGGTGAGGAAGTCACATAAAGTTGTTACCTGTTTCCCATGCATTACCCAAGGAAAATCCTTGTCTTTAGGCTGTTCACTTTTGCCTGTGGCCCAGCCTGCACAGCACAAAGGCAAGTGCAGGACCTCAGGGCAATCAGCTCCTGGGCTGTTTTCCTTGGGGCCACTCTGTCTTCAGCTTTATCTCTTGCTTCTCAGATGGAAATCAGCACTTTGAGGCTCTGCCCAGGTTGTCTTCTCTCTGGTGTCTCGCGGGAAAGAGGAAAGGCAGAAAGCAGCAGACAGAGCTTATTAGCACATAGGAGAGTTGTCTGGTTTGAGAACAGCACTTAAAATACAAAAAGGCAACAGGGATAAGCACAGTGCCAGCAAGGAGCAGACAATTTCCACTTATGGAACCAAGGTGGGAGAAGGAGGAGACGTACCAGGCACTGCCTGAAGGTCTTGCTTCCTGCCTGTCAGACAGGCTATTAGACATTGCAGGTAGGAAGTATGATGTAGTTCTTGCCCTGAAAATATCCCACTCACATTAGCGTGCCTTCTGCAAGGATGCAAGGATAATGTCTGCTCTCCTGCTTCTCCCAGAAGGGCAATGATGCCTCCAGCCTTCCCTATAGCCATTTCTGCAGGCTCACATGAAGCTTCTCCTGGAGTTTTGCAAAGTCTCATCTTCCTCAGCTCAGGCCAGTTTGGATCAGTATTATGATGAAGTGGATGCAACATCAGTGCCAGAGGCTCCAGCCAGAGCCAGGACATGTCTGTGCTCAGCTGCCTGCTGTGAGGTCCTTCCCTTGTGTTTCATACCCACATGTTTTGAGGCTTTTTTTGACAGCAACTAGTTTTTCTTGCTGTGCAGCACAATGAGATTGGATCCTGACAGGAGCCATTAGCTGTTAATGGTGTAAAACAGGCTAACACGAGACTATCCCCAAAAAACATTAATCT